GGTCTTGAGTAAACAGTCTCTCCTCCGGCATCTCCTCTCGCATCGATCAGGCATATCAAACTAGCCTGGCCTCCCAGGCGTCCATTTCCCTTCCAACCCCTCCCCTCTCCTTCCCCCAGCCTCTCAAACCGCAATCATGGCAAAGCAACAGGAAGTCTCTTGAAATATGTTTCATATTCAACCGACGAAGCCTTCAGGTAAAGGAAGCTAGGGCGTCAACACAACAAGGAGAATCGAATTTCCTTTATATCTTCGAAGGTTGCTTCTCTGATCGGTTCCCTTCATGTTTCCCTTCTTCTGGAAGTGATCAACCATGACCTATAGCTGATGAGTGCTTTGGTACGCAAGTGCAAATTTCGATGCATACCTTACACATTCAACCTACTATAGGTGTGATTCTCAGCCAAGAATTGAGCTGTTTGATCTCAGTACTTGCCTTGCACTTTCAGAAGTTAGCATTGAGGGGCCATGGTCCTTGACTGCGCTCAGCAGCTGATCAAACAGTCCCTGAGTACATTGGGAGTAGTGGGATAGGGAAGAGACGAGGCAAGTGTGAGGTCGTCTACAAGTGTTTTAGATTTGTACGAGAAGTTTGCACTACCCCCTACCCCTCAACACGGGCTGGAGGCCGTTGGAAAGATTCAAATCATTTGAATACCTACCCCGAGCCACCTCATGATTATTTAGTCAACTATACACGCCTATTCATATCAAATAGAGGAAGGTTTTGCTCAACATTGCCCTTCTTGTCTTGAATGGACCGGCAGCCCTGGCAACGAAAAAGGTACATAAATTGACGGAGCAAACATTTTTGGTCAATTTTCTCTTGCCGCTTGAATTTGACTAAAACTACTACGAGAACCACCCTGGTTAACTGATCCGAAAAGGGTACGGAACGGCAACGCTATGCCCCTGGGAGAAATGTCCTATGGGTTTTTGGATCTGCGATATAAAAAAGTCTTGTCTCGGTCACGTGATGTGTCACGTGACCGGTCAGGTGAGCCTGTCAGCCGGGTCACGGACCCTGTCAGCCGGCTGACATGTCACGGGCCTGCTGACACGGTCCGCTGACCGGTCACGGCCGCCCGGAGAGATCAGGCCCCCGGCCAATCTCCGGACACTTAGCCTCCTGGCGGGCCTCCAGGGGGTCTGAGGCGGGGCTGAAGGCTGCAGTCGGTCTACTGACCGGCCCGGCCGGCAGGATCCGTCGAGAAACAGGGGGGTCAAGGGAGGTTTTCTTCCCCTGGGAGAAATGTCCTATGGGTTTTTGGATCTGCGATATAAAAAAGTCTTGTCTCGGTCACGTGATGTGTCACGTGACCGGTCAGGTGAGCCTGTCAGCCGGGTCACGGACCCTGTCAGCCGGCTGACATGTCACGGGCCTGCTGACACGGTCCGCTGACCGGTCACGGCCGCCCGGAGAGATCAGGCCCCCGGCCAATCTCCGGACACTTAGCCTCCTGGCGGGCCTCCAGGGGGTCTGAGGCGGGGCTGAAGGCTGCAGTCGGTCTACTGACCGGCCCGGCCGGCAGGATCCGTCGAGAAACAGGGGGGTCAAGGGAGGTTTTCTTCCCATAGCGTTGCTTTTCTCAATTGACCTTAGCGCTCTAAAACGTTTCGCTGTGAGGGTGGTAAATTCAAATCCACATATACCACGCCTCAAGTGGGGGCGGGGTGGGTCTTCACGATTCAAATCACGAAGAGCCAAGCAAGAGTTTTTAGGGGTAGGGTCCTACTTACATACAATTTCTTGGTACCAGTTGGTACAGTCCGAAACATGTGACTTTGGTACTCTCGGGGTACCATTCGGGGTTCTCCCCTAGGTATTGTACACATCCGGTACAAATATAACCCCACCCCCATGAAAAACTTCAAGCATGCTGGTTGAATTGCTTCATCCCTTGAACCTGGGGCCTGTCCGATCAAATCATATGGGCATACATAAGAAAACTGCAAGCCTGTGTGGT